GTATAGATAAACAATGAATGAGAGAGAAATAAAGAGAGCGTGAGTGAGGTGAAGAAGTAAGAAAAAGGACAGATATTACGGACCGTAAAAGTAAGAGAACCGAAAGGGAAGAATTAAACATTAATCATGCAAATATAATAAAAAATAATTGCGGGAGTACGACAGAAAAAGAAAAAAAAGAAAGAGAGTGAGAGGGTAAGGGAGAGCGAAAGGGAGGGGGAGGGAGAGAGAGAGTTTGAGTGAGAGGAGCGAGAGAGTTTTGTATGAAGGGACGAGTACAGAAATTATGTAAAATGACTGAGTGGGAACCGAAATGGACGAATCATATAACGTAAATATGAAAAGGAACTAATTGAGGGAGTAATGTAAAGGTAAGATATCTAGAAATAGATTGATAGATAGATATATAGATAGATAGATAAAGAGAGAGTGAGAGTGAGAGAGAAAGAGAGAGAAAGGGAGAGACAGAGTGGAAAAAGAGAAAGGAGTACCAGGAATTATGAAACATGAACGAGAGAGACGAAACATGTATATACAAAGAAAATGGTTTTGTAAATAAAAGAAATAAACAAAGAAAGCGAAAGGGTGCGGAAGTGAACAGAATTCCTTTAAACAAAATCAAATAGAGAACAAGCACCCCTTCGCGCAAAAACTTCAACAACAAAAAATAAAAAAAATATGACTATTTAACATGTTAGTTTTCTAATAACTGAATTAAATTTTTTTAAATTTATTTCTACGATTGAGATACTTCAAGTTTTGTATTGGAGTTTCGAGCTGTCAGCTTCTATTTTCTTTCCACTGCTGTCGTAAAGTTCCTAAGCCTGAGTCAAGTGGTAGTCTCAGTCGGATCTTTTTTCGTGGAGTCGTTGTTAAGAAGATACTTAAACGCTACTTTCTCCCAAGTCCTCTCTATTCTTCCATTTCTTTTGTCAAAAGTAAAAAGAGGAAAGAATGTTTCACTTTACCGTTTTTACATCACAACGTTTTTATATTTGTTTATATTTTAAACTTGTAATAAAACAAAATTGTGTTATTTCTTCAAAATCCAAACGTTTACGTGGCCAATGAAAATAAATAAATAAAATAAATGTGTAAATACTTCAATAAAAGGTAGACTGAGAAAAATAGAGACAAAACTATGTTACTAGAAAAATTAAAAAAGGACAACAAAACATCCTGTTCACAACACGTTCTACTGTCAGACTACCATTTAAAAATTCAAATTATTTGATTGTTTGTTCTACTTTTAAGCAATAACAAATGATTGTTTTTAATAAATTAGATAATAAATATTTATACATCCAATGAAGGAACTTATTAATTCACAATTATAATAAAATTTCAAGTACAATTTAAATAGTTCGATGATTTGAATATGGATATGAATAATTTGTATATTTGAAGGTAAACTGGTTCAAAATGAATATGGATATTGCCAATATTGTAGTATTTACTTTCTCTAGCATGTTTATTTTATTTTTATTATAAATTGCATTATAATTTATTGAAAATATTATGTTTTATTTAAGGAGATTTTTTTGGCCTTATGGTCTAGCATGTCCTCTGGTAGCTAAAACCTCTGTGCACCTGTTAGGTATACTGTTAATAACGTTGACACTAACTTTATAAGGAATTTCACTCCATAGATCGCTGCAGTCACTTGTTGCAGGTCAACTGGCTGCGGATGATGATCGAAAAGCCTTCTCTGGAACGTATCCCATATGTACTCAATGGGATTGAGGTCTGAGTACAAGGGGTTGGGGAAGATAGGAAATTCCCAGCTTTTCTAAACATTGAAATAACTCTGCCTCTATTAGTATGAGCGTGCCAGCAACGTCATCCAGAAATCGAAAATCCCTGCCAATGGGATCCTTGGTTTGAGGGATGTATTCTTCGGTAATTTCAAAACCTTAACGTACTGAGGTGAGGTTGCCTTCAAAAATATGGAGTCCAGTTCGTCCTCCGGTGTCGGCACAAACTATTACACCTCTCCTCCAAACTGCACTGAAGATGTTATTGTACGCATCAGCTACTACCACTATAAAGACAGAAACCCTAGACTTCAGTAAAGAAAACAGCATTCCAATTGGTGTTTTTCTTCTAGGCGCTCGCTGCACCATATTTGCCTGAGTTGCTGGTAGTGGGCTGTTGCTGCAGGTCGTCTCAAAATGGCATACGATGTGAGGCCAACTTCCGACAAACGATTACGAATCGTTTGTGTTGATAAACACATTGCCAAAATATCTTGTACTTCATTTAGGAGGGGTCTGTCTTGCAGCAATGACAATAGGGATATTCGCGACCCTGTTAACTCTGTTAGGTCGTGCTAGATCGAGAAAAATGATGACTTAGACTTGTAAGAATCGGCTAGTTAACATTGCTCGATCTAACAGGCCAGGTGCAATGTTAGATGTTAGGTCGAAAATGTAATCACATTGCTATCCGTTAGGGTGTAGGTAACCAACATGGCAGCCATGAAAGAGTTGATTAATTTTCCTTTTTTTATTGTTTATAGTTTGTATTTACTATTTTGATTTATCCTGCTAAAAATAATATCTAGGTAAATTTAATTAAACTTAATAGAATATGAATAAATTACAAATATCTCTATTCATTTTTGAGCAGTTTATAAAATGCTTGTATATTCATGTGAAACGGTATCAGAGAAAGATCTTTCGTTTGTATTCCTACGTAAATTCATAAAGATATTTTTTTACAAATTTTTTATAGATGCCTGGAAACCTTCCTGACTTTTTAAACGGCATGGTCGGCATTACAAATAAACATTCTCAGGATCATGTTCGTAATGTAAAGTTTAGTATGTTTTCGAACTTGAGTTCTCCCATAACGGTATCGAATGACACTTATAGCAAATAAAGTTTGCCTAAACCTGCTTCGAACCACGAACTTTGTTTATTTTCTCTGTAAATCGAGAAAGTGAGTTTACATCGGATGATCTCGAGTAGAAGATGAATTACGGGAGGTATTTAAAGTCAGACGACGATTATGAATGAAGTATTGGACGCGGGAATCGTCAAAAATTTATACAGCAATAGACAAAAATAATAAACTAACAGAAAAATGTAATCATGCCATATTTATTATATTACGCGGTGGGGGGGTCAGGATAAACAAATTTTACAAAGATTTAACTATTTGTATAATTTCCATTAATCCAACAACTCCAAATAATATACATAGTTGTAAGTTAAAATCAAATTGCTAAAGCATATAAGGAATTGTCTGTTTAAATTATTCTTATTGTCTTGCAAACAAAAGGAGATAGCCCCTCGTTCCGTATTTTTCCACTGAGTTGTTGTTGCTAATTGACGGTGAAAAGTCATTAAGAAAGAATAAATTAAAATCTGTAATGTCCTAACTCGTAAACATACTACCATGAATTGTTTTGACTTGTTTTACGTAATATTTTAACACGTATCACGCATGTCGCAAAAGCGCAATAGTTTCAATTTAAAAAAAGTATATCCAACAGAAAAATGGTATCGATTATTCATTCAAGAGTCAACTCAAATTTGCGCACGCCTTCACATCAGACGCGTGTATAGAGATTAGTGAACTTCTCGCAGTCCACCGGTAATTCCAACGTTCGTAATTTACCATAAATTACGCTGGCTCGAAAATCACCCCCCTTCGGGTGTTGGCAGTCCGGGGTCGGAACTCTTCTGTCCAGCCGCCGAGGTTGAGCTCCAGGGGATATCAACAGCTAGAAGATTTCACCCCCATCGCAATCTCTTACTAAATCCATACCCATTCACACTTTCACTTAAACTTACTTTCTTTCTTTTTTACATACCATTCACTCAGTTACAGTGGTGGGGTACTCAGTATTACTCCATCACCCTTTACACTTGTTATATAATTAACCAAATAGAGGACAACGGGTATTCCCAACAGTTCCATCGGTCCTCTCACGCTACACATTCACCCCAATAAATGCATTCACTCACAACACACGCTAGGGACACCGACTATTAGTACTATATACAAAAAACAACCCTGCTTCCTCCGAGAATCGGAACAGAGAAACCAGATGCTCCCTGCCAGGCTAATGCTTAATTATCATATAGTCACTCCTATACGCTTTCTATACGAAGGCAAGGACTTGCACCCTACAACTAGGAGGGGTATATTAAGCAGCCTTTCTCTTCAAGCCTGATACTTACGCGGGCTTTGGCTCAAAAGTTTTTTAAATCATGTTTTTTCCTGCATTTTTAGCGTCAGAGGGCGGGATATTGGTAGTTAGTTAAATCCACTAAAATCAACTCCGAAATGTGGGATTGAAGTTTTAATCTATCATTATTAGTATTAATCATAAATATTGCTAATCGTTAAATCTTTATTTTTACTAACACATTCTTCGTTAGCGCGTTCATTAATGTTAGAAGAAGCCAACCGTCAGTTACTTTATGAGGCTAAAAAAATTTACAACGTTCTTTTTTTATAAATTGTTATTCAATCCGCTTTGTAAACGAATTGTTTACGACATATTGTGTTAAATTTTCAACTGATTTAACTTATTAAACATGAAAAGTGTTTGTAGATAAAAAATAAAATAGGAAATTTTAGTTCTCTCAGACCATTTCTTAGCGCGTCCTTTCGTAAAGCGTTTTTGGAATTGCAAGATTATTAAACACATGTATCAATAAAAAAACTATTTTTAAACTGCCAACATACAGTTTATTATATTCAATACTAAACAGAAAATTTCTAATAGAAAAAGTAAAACATTACACCCTGTTAACTCTGTTAGGTCCTGTTACATCGAGAAAAATGATATCGTAGATTTATAAGAATCGGCTAGTTAACATTGCTTGATCTAACAGGCCAGAGCCAATGTTAGATGTTAGTTCGAAAATGTAGTAACATTGCTATCCGTTAGGGCGTAGGTAACCAACACGGCAGCCACGAATTTAACAGCTGTTTTTTGTTTACACGTATTTTTACTCTTAAATACGGATTAATTAAATCAGACCAACACATTTCTTTTATTAATCTCTCACCTGTCCTTATACTCTCATTCATAATAGATACATACCCTATCCTATAAAATTGTAGGCTGTTAGACGTTAGGATACAAGTTAGGTATATCGGCACCAATTGAAGCGTGTCATTTGTTAGAACTTTTCGAGCGCGTAAATAGCATTTTGAATGAAAGAGGTGTGCATTTTTCTTTTTGTATTAACTTCCGTCATCGTACAATTTAACATAAAACAAAACCAAACCTAACAACAACAAGCCTTCAAGGTCTGTGATAGCTTTATTTTTGGTTCTACGCGTGCATCATTGCAGAAAAATTAACGTTTAACATGCTAAGAAAAGAAGGGGGCGTTGACGATCTTACTGGACTTTTCTCTATTCACGATAACATGAGTTAACATCTTACAAACATTGTGAATACCCCTATTATGTTGAATGGATGATGTTACAATAAACCTAGATTTATTTATTGAATCACATTGTTTACTCAGATTTAGTCGTAAAAATACTATTTTAACTATATACAGACAATTATAAAATAATAATTTGTTGGAGATGTGAGGAGCGCTAAAGAAAGAGGTAGTTTGGAAAACAGCTTTTGCCAACGTTTCGACCTTTATTCAGATCATCTTCAGGGCTTCAGGGCTCAGTGTGGTGCTATCCTTGTGGGGTCATATTGGTTTTGTGTGAAATTGTTGTGACGTACAATTGTTGTTGATCATAGGAGCTGTAACACCGGAACCCCTCCTCAGCAGTAGGTGTTCATCATGGACTAGCGTTGATCTACAATGCTAAGTAGGCAAATAGTAAAGATAAACTTGAGAGAGTATGTGAAACATTTTTTCTGTTCAATGAAATAGTAATGAAGGCAGAATTGAAGATTAAGAAACAGAACAGACAATTAAAATTTAAAGAAAAAAAACCCAGAATATTTGAAAGACATTATTTTCGCCAACTAACGAACGACACAAAAGTATAAATTAAGTGAAATTAAATCTTCTGTCAAGTTGCCAATATTTTTTGGAAAAATAGCAAATATTTAAACCTAATAAATATAAAAATCATCAAGAACTTTATAACCCGACATTATTGTTTGAAATACCTATTTCATATGGAGGGGAAAACAAAGAAAAATCATCAGTGACACGACCACACAAAGATCACGAGAATATATATATTTTATATAACACAAGGTTATGTCTTTTAGGTGAATTAGATAGTTTAAATACTGGCACGAAAGGAATGATCGTAAAAATTAAAAGAACATAAGTTATGGAAAGTAGTTTCACCGGTTTTCATCATGGAGGTGCACGATCCGAGGTAAAATGTATACGTTTTCACTCTCGAGTTTAGGAAGTCATACTCATTAATTTAATTCACGGGGTTTCGTGTCTAATTAAAGGCATTTGCTTATAAAACAGACTGTTTAGACATTTTACGGCGTTTTAATTGTTTGGCAAGATTTCTTTCCGCGTTCCTCACTAATTAGTGCTCGACATTTTACCCTTACCAGGTAAAATTTACCTTCTTTAAAGTGTGTACGGAGTGGGAACAGTTAAATTGAAATTTTCCTGAAAAACCAGGCGAAAAGTTAAATCATTTTAGTTTGTCGTTATAAACAATAAGCATTATCCTTCAATTTTGTATCTTTGATTGTGATTTTTTTCCTTGCGTTGTCCGATGGATATGGACGCGAAACTCGGGCAAAATCTCGTAAATCAATCGGAAAATGCGACAAAGTTTTTAATAACTTTGGGCCCGCAGTCGTTCGGCATGGGAATTGCTTTTCGGCCAGCCTCAAAATTTCATTTGTCAAAGTAATTTCCAGTTATAAACTCAATTTGACTGTTTTCTTGATTTTGTGAAATAGTCCGAACGCTACTATTTCAGGGTAATTGTGCCGAGGGCTAACTTTTTAAAAAGTTTATTATAAATAATATCCATCTCTCAAATTTCTGTGTAAGGTAAAATTCGGCTAAATTCTTATGCTTGAGCTTTATCGACAAAGTATTTAAAAAATAAGTGTTACTATGTGAAAATTCTGGATCAAGATATGGTCTTGAAGAAGAAGAAAGCAAATTTAGTTGCTAATGACAAGCTTTCGACCTATTTTCATATTCGGTCATCATCAGGGCCTATATAAATTTCACATTGCGATAAACATCCTGAGGTCGAAAGCTCGGCAATCGCAACTAAATTTGCTTTCTGTTCGTAAGTGAAAAAATAGCCGATACTACGAGTACTGAAAACAATGAACTATGCCCTGTTTTACCACGATTTACGATCAAGTTTTTACGATTTCCAAATAATTTTCTGGTATACACCAAAATATTGTAATTTATTTCAAAAAGATGACTGAAATAATATATTTAAAAAATTTATTCAATTTATCCAAAACAGTTTTATTAAATACAAGCCATTACATTTCGTGGTCCTTTTGACCAAATAATTTTTTTTCAATTAATTAAGGTATTGGTTGAGATAAAAAAGTCAGTGTCACGAGCGGGATTCGAACCCACGACCTTCGGCTAAATAAGCCCCTACTCTACTACTTGCGCTATCGTGACTTCGTCCCACTCAGACACTGACTTTTTTATCTCAACTAAAAACCTTAATTAATTGAAAGTTATAAATTCATTACTACCCAAATTTTACTTCAAAAGCCAAGACATAATAATTGGATGAAATTCGCTTTTGGTTAACGACCGTTTTGTAGAAGTGGGTTAAGTGATATTTTGCCAATTAGGACCGGATTTAGGTTGAGGAAGTTTACAGAATAATGAAAACTGTAACTAATTTTTTTCTTTATTAATTTGGCAATCGAAATTCTTCCTCTGCCAATAAAACTAAGTGTTCAAAATACTAAAATGTAAAGGAAGTGTAATATTCTGCATTTTACAAACAGTGTTAACTTTTGTCCAATTCTACTCCACTATGAACTAGAGGTGAGAAATACCGATGACCGTCGATGAAGTGAATGAGCTCTTTCTTGTGGCGGAATGGCTGGAGGGGCAAACAACTTGTCATGTTACTTGGTGGTGGTAAAGACGACACTCAAAATTGAACGGCTATCGATGAAGGGTTGGTATAAGAGTTGTGGAAATGTAAGAGTCACGTTCTTTTCTCAGAGCCGTTCGTCGCTCGCTCAGTAAAGTGAGTTAATTCTATTGATCAGCTCGTGAGGTGAGCTCAAAATCTAAACGAAGAGCATTGTTCGAATATTTTTTTTTTTCATTGACTGCAATGGATTGGTTTCACGACATACAATGCCATATTGAATGTATAATTGCATAGCTACCGAGATATCTTATTTTATCTTTTTGTATCTCAAAACATTTCAAACAATTAAAGTACACATTAGAGCAACGCAATATAATTTCGGTTCCTCTTCGTGGAAGACCTTAATTAGTAAAATAAATTGGATTTTTTTCTAAGCTGATCTATTAAATGAAAAATCATTTATCATCTGCCTCTCTACATTTATACATACAAACAAGTCATCCTGTAAGGATTGTAAAAGGTGAAAAACAAATCGTCGGTGTATAATAAATAAGATAGGACCCAGGTCAAACCGTTGAGATACTCCATGTTCAATGAACCAATTAGCACTTATGTGGTTCTTATTCTTACACATTAGCTTCGCTTAGTAAAATAAGATTGACATCACGGCAAGGAGAGTATTTTGAGATCTATCGTATCAAATGCCTTAGTGATGTCTAGGCCTTCCATTGTGGATGACTCAAAATTGTTTGCAGAAAGTACACGTATGACAGACAACCCGGGAAATTGCGGAAGAGTTTACTGTTGAACGCTCGACCGTTGTGGGGAGACCTTATCATGGAAGAGTACATGATTACGACTGCAAAGAACTAAGTCTACAAAAAATTAAATATGATCCCAAATGACATCCGCGGTTTTGGGGCACGGCAGCAGGCACGGATGACTGATCCAATGTCTCATGTTTACATTTAATAAGGATATTTAATTGTATATAGATCTTTGTACCATTACTCAGTGGTGAATGGATTGTAGTGAGTGAATGTCATTTATTTCCACCAATCAGAGGGCTTATTCACAATTACCCCGTGGAATATCGGGTACTTTGGGGATACATGAATGAATGGTTGAATATAATTTATTAGGGTGAATGAAAAGGCTCATCTCCAATTACCTAGAGGAATATCGAGTATTCTGGGATAGATTGAATTTTAACTGTGTGTATTTCATTATGTTTTGTTTATTATGTTTTGTAGGTAGGTTAGGATTTACGCATTTAATAAAGTGAATTTTTTTTATAAAGCATTTATTTGTCTTAAATTTCATATCCTACTGGTGTTGTTAACTATCATTTTATGAACTCAATAAAAAATATATTTATAAGGACAAATACAATCTTTGATTTTTATTGTTTTCATTATGCAGCTGGTGGTGAAGTGTTAAAAAAACGTATGGCATGTGATGTATTTTGTTTACACTGCTAAGTGAGTGAAACAATAAAGTACACATTTAGGAAGAAAATAACAACAAAAGTGCTGGCGTAAACCATAATCAGTTTAGAGTAACTGAAAAGGTGCTTTAACTTGGTAAAGTAGGTTAAGAAGGAGAGGCCGAGCAATTGGATGACAAAGAGAATCGTGAAAATCCCCCCTCGAAGTTTTGGCGGCGATTGTTCCAACATGAAAGTGAAATAAGCCACCGAAGACAAGACGTGGGCGGCATTCGACAAGAAAACCTGGAAAATAAGATAATAATACTGAAGCGTCACAGGTTCTTCTATCAGGAACACGTCTCCGGTGAAAACTCCAGACTCGTTGTAGAGGAAAATTACGTAGAGCATAGCTCCATTGATATCAACGTTATTTACCACTGAGGTGATTTTGTTGCCTTCTTTTATTTCCACAGTATAAGTTCCCGCGTTGATGTCGTGCAGTATTCCTCTTTCAATACGGAAGGCGGTGTTTTTCAGTGTCTTCATTTCGATAAAGTTCAAGCTAGGATTTTCCTTGAGAGACGTTAACGCGTGAATTACGAAGAAAGAAGAAATACTGTTATGTATTTCACCTGCCGAAAACACTGTAGGATCGTAATCGCCATTCTGGACCAAACCGTTTTTCGTAATAATGATAGATGTGGATTTTCTTTCTTTCAAGGATACCGGATATGTCCTGGAATCTTCAGAGGTGTTCATTTTTCCCGTTATTGTTACCCAAAGTTTTGCAGACTCCACAACATGAATTCCAGTCTCAACGGTAAAATCGAAAGGATCTACTTCGCTATTATTTATATAGCCGGCGATATTGATGGTGCAGGCATAGGGCAATGTGTTGAATATCCTTAAATTGGACGTGTGCTCTTCCGGAATAAAATGCAGCCCGTTTTCCAACCGTATCTGTACGACCAGCGAAAACATAACTACGAGGATTAACGCGAGGTACCCACTAAGAAATATGTGAAGATTGGAAAAGTTACGTTTTCGCACGAAAGGATAGACTATAAATTCATTCAATGGAAAAAGAATGAAATCAAAAATCGCGGAATACCATTGAAGATCCATATCCGCCCACCAATGCGTTCGATTTCTAGAAGAGAAATCCGTCTGTTTGACGGTGGTAAACATTAAAAACGCAATAGCATTACTCATGAAAACCCCCGTTATAAAATAGATCAGAGTTTTGAAAAACGTATTCGTTTGCGCTTCCACAAGTTTGACGACGGCCGGAGACGTTTCATCGAGGTATTGAATCCCACCCTTATCCTCTTCGTTTTTGTCGGGCATGTTGGCCGTGCTATTGGAAAATGGACATAAGAAATCTATTATTTTCCTCCAAATGCCCCGCGAATTAGACTCCGATGGCGTTACCCTCTCTGGAACCAACTTATTCGATGAGGAAAACGGAGTGTAAGTGTGTACAACCAAAATACTTTCGAACATCGCCCTGTAATGACCTGACGTATTAACGTTTTCTTGTTTCAAAATGCCTCGTTTGTTTTCCATAAAAATTTTAATTTTATGAAGAGGTTGTCTTAACATGTTGAACAAATGCTTAATGCATAGCTCCCAAACTTTGAAAAGAATAATTTCATTCTTCATTTTACTTTTCAAGAACAATAAGAGGATGAAATACGCGCTCACCGACAAGATGGCGATGATGCTCATATGTAACGGATTCCCAAGACCCGTTTCTAATAGAAGCTCGCACACGAATCTCATCAAAATCCGTATATACACCAAATAAAAAATATATCTGCCTACCTGTCGAGTCTGAGTTAGTATATCGAACTGTTCCAGTAAAAACATATTCCTGACCGCCGACACGGCGTAAGACAGGACCATCATTGATCTTGACAAATGCATAAAGGAACGTTGGGTCCTCTCGTGGAGAATGGAGAGGAACCAACATAACGAAGAGGCGAATACAGTCAAAACTTCCAAAAGGCAGACTGTCGACTTGCCCGTGTACGAGTCGGCCAAGCAGCCAAACACCAGAGCGAAAGGACCGATAAAAAATAGCAGAGCGTTCGTTTCTTCAAATCGGGAAAAGCTCGATATTGTAAAGGACATTGCGATGCCGGTCGGTAAGCCTGTACACAATTTGGTCGATTCCATCGAATAACTAATTAAGAATTCACCACCGAGGAGCAAAATTTTAATATTTCTTATATTAAGTTCCATCTTGAATCTATCAAACATGGTTTTTAAATATCGGGGACAAACTAATAAAGACATCGCATATATCGAACAGTCACATGCAAGTCCATTTTTATCAGATGATTTATTGTATTTGTATAAAAAAGAAACATTTGTTTGTTTGTTTTTTTTTTGCTTTTTCCTTTGGAAATATTGCCATATAATATTTAAGAAATTTATAAATACAGCGTTTCAAGATTTATTGGGCCCATTATACTGGGGTCCCTATACAGATCATCCAATAATTGTTTCCTCTGGTTATCGTACTCTGGGCATTCTAGTATTAGATGACTGGGATTTGATGGACTGTCGTATGTTGGACAGTTAGGGGACGTGCTTATTCCAATTCTATGCCTATAACTCCCCCACAGGCCATGGTTAGTTTTAATTCTGAAAATAGTAGAGTAGAATTCCTTTTGCCTGCCTCCTTCCGAAAACCACGGCTTTGCTTTAAGCTTTGGGAATAAAGCTGGATTGTAATCGCCAGCTGTTGCGGAGCTGTATTCTTTATCCCATAGATTGGAACACAATTTGTTGAAAAAAAAATTTCCGTCTGTTTTAGGGATTTTCAACTTTCGTGTATATGGGTACACCATATACTGTGGCCTCCTTCGCCAACGCATCCACTGTTTCGTTATGAAGTATACCCGTATGACCTTTAATCCAGCATATTATCACACTTTTTCCATATTTTTTTAGCTCAAAGATCTTTTGGTAAACATCCGCGATGATATAATTATTAACTTTGCCGCTTGGGGATACATTACTTATACTATCTACAGCGCTTCGACAGTCCGTTAATATGCAGAATTTAGTTTCATTCCTTTTTTTTATGTATTCAAGCGCTTTAGTTATGGCGGTTAATTCCGCAGTGTAGACAGTAGTTGAGTTTGGTAGAGATACTGTTCTTTATGTTCACTTTTGTAATCGAACATAGCGCCCATCGAGGGCACTCTCAACACGACACGCAAGGCTGGCACAATTACACAGAAGACAAACACTTTGAGCCCTGAAGATGATCTCAATAAAAGATCGAAACGTTGGCACGATAAAGAAAATGTTTTTCTGAAACCTACATCACCCCCGACCGCATCTCACGATATCTGAATAATTATTTATTTAACACAATGTTTATAATCTTATATAACTCCTCCCCCGTTAGAGAGAGCTTCCCTTGAAGCTCGTGAAATAAAAAGAAATAAAATGACAATTATAAAAATTTGAACTATCTTATTCTGTGCTAAGATATTATTTTACATTTGCAATGAACCAGAGGTGTGGTTACTTAAGGCTAACATATTTTTCTTATATCTATACAAAATAATAGTGATTACAGTTAATATGACGGGTAGAATTATATACAGAAAGATAGTCCGTAGGCTGGGATTAACATGTACCGCGGGAGTCTTGAATGTTGTGGGTGAAGGTTGGAATGTCCATTTCCAATTTTTGTAGATGAACGGTGATGTTCAGGTTCTTCATCTTTTCTATTGGAAACGACAAGCCACTCAACCAGTGAGGTCTTCCAGAAGTGCGGGTCTGTAGGTTAACGTCCTTGTTCCTGTAGAATAGAGTGCTGTCTTCTGCATCTATGAGGAACAACCCTTTCAATTTATGCATTTCCAGGCCACTTGAAGTTTCTATTTTAACAGTGTCAGGTTTCGCAAAAATTGCTAGGTATTGGTTAATTTCTGGATTTCGTTGCAGTAAATTGTTGGCAATTTTGATGTCAGCAATCTGGCAATGTTCCATGCTTCATGAGAACACATGAAGCAATATGTTCTCGCCGCAAGGTGTTGCTTGATGAACCTCCTCCTCGGCGGAGCAAAGGTAAACTCCGTTGATTTCAGGGCACAGTTTTTTCAGTGGTTGGATAATCGAATTGTCCCTTGACTTCAAAAAGTATTTGTACTTTGCCATCACTGTTATAAATTTGTTTTTGTAATAAGATGGAATGGAAAGTATACAATACAGGTCATAATCTGTTTGTTGCGTTACAGGTAGTGACAAATAGTACACAATTTCATTATTATAATATTTACATTTAGTTTTAACCATTGATTCAAGTTTTAGGATATTCTCTAGTTTTAGTTCAAATGGAAATCCACCGGGGTAATGTTTTAATAATTTGTTTAATTCATTAAACATATCTCTAGGTTTGATTATACCAGGATGTAATCTCCCTACATTACAGAATACAATAGAATTTTCTATTTCCCTTAGCATATCAGATATTAATTCAAATAATATAACAAGTTGGTTAAGCATATTTTCTAATTCTAATACATAAATGTCCTTATTATTATCCTTAATGATATTATTAAGTTCTACAATTTTATTTTTTAATTCTACATTATTAATATTTATTTCCTTAATCAAATCTTTATAATTTTTTATTAACATACTGTTTACAGAGTATTGGTTATTTAATTGATATTGTAGTTAAAGTTATTTACATTATTCTTTATGTCTGCTAACATTTTTTCATAATTTTCGCCATCATAGGCGTCCAAGTTACCTGTTATGAATTTTACAATGGATCCTATACCGTTTATTATTCCTCTTTTTGTTCTAAATTTTCTCTGTACAATTAAAGCATTTAGTTTTTCGCTTATTACACTGCCTTCATAATTAATAATTTTAAAATAATTATTTAATTTTTTCTTTATATCAGTGTCGTTTTTTGCTAGCTCAAAGATTTTCAAATAATTAATGTTTAACTCACTGAATTTGGTGTGTAATTCTGTAACATTGTAGTAATGAGAGTGTGGTGTTTGTTAGATTTTCGCTTTTCCTAGCCTTATGGGTAGTATACCAGGGTTTGTTGTTTTTGATATTCAGTCCGTTTGCAAAACAGCTGAGGATGGACCTGGAACAGCGTCAATTTTTTGAGTTTTCCTAGGTCTTTGAACATCTGACAAGTGGATTTTGCTTTGTGTGTTATAATGTTGTGCATTTAGTTTACCTAATTTCAGAGTTCTGTTGATCGATTTTAGCGTTTGTTTTTTATATTTGTATTTAGTTTTACTTTGTTTTTGTTTATTTCGTATATATACCTCTTCGGGGATATCAGGTAATTCTTCTCTCTCTCGGTTTAGCGTTGCTATAGTTTTTTCTTTGATTTTCGAATTTAGTTCATTAATCTTTTGATATAATAAAAGAGTTTTCTGTTTGTGGGTGTTTATGTAGTCGTTGTATATTTGAGTTTCTAAGTCTAGTGCGAACGGGGAGTCATTTTCGATATGACCGCTGAGTATGTTACTTGGTTTTGCGTTCGTTGAGGAATGTATTGTATTGTTATATGCTAAAATAGCATAGTTCATTTTATCTCTGATTGAATCTTTTTTAATGTACTAAATTTTTCGGTCGAGTTTCCGTATGCCGAAGTTATTTTAGACGGGGCTAATTTTATTGATTTTTTAAAATGTTTGTGTGCTACTTCAGGATTGATAAAGGATGTTGTACTACCTGTATCAATTAAAATTTTGAGAGGTGGGTTTCTAAATTTTATATATGGGAGGCTTGGCTTGGTTGCATTTTGTCATCAAGGGATACTCGGGTAGAGGCTTTTGTTTTCTAAAAAAAGGATCCATAGGTTCTAAGCGCGAATGATTTTGCTGCGTGAAAAAATTATTGGGTTCTCTGAACGATTGTCTACTTTGTATCGACATGGGTGTCGGTTTGATGTCACGTCCGTTCGCGGCTTGAATTCGCGGGGCGAACATGGTGTTTTGTGTGTTAGATTTTGTGTTTTGAGGGAAATTAGGATATTGGTTGGGGAATCTTGCTGGGTGTCTAATAGGTGGTTGAAATCGAGGTTTCCTTGACGGATAATTGTCTGGTTCCTGAAAAGTTTTCAAAAACTGAAAATCATTCGTAAGGATATTTAAGGCTTCTGTGAAATTACTTGGATTGCTAGTGCGCATAAGTGAGCCTAGGGGTTCTTTTAGACCTCTTAGTAAGACACGGAGTGCGACGCCTCTCGCATAATCAATTAAAGTGTTGGATTGAAGGGGATTGTGATTTTTAAAATATGCTATTTGTAAGTTTAAAAGGTTCTGTACTCGTTGATAGAACTCATACGGTTTTTCGTTTTGTTTTGTTAGTCTAGAGATTTCAATGGAGAGTGAATACGTCCCTTTTGTCGGCGTATCCCTGTAACAATTCAGTTTTTAAATCTGCCCAGTTTGATACGTTACTATTTTCAATCACTTGAGCTGCAGGACCTTTTATCTTATTTCTTAAGCATGAAAGCAGGTATACATTTTGGAAATTATTAGGGTGGTTAGTATCTACAAATGTGTTAACTAATTTCTGCGACATGCCTATGAAACGCGTAAGAACGGTTGGGTCTCCATTGAATTCCGGGACCATGACCAGAAATTCTCTTTTAAATTCTGGGAGACCCATTTTGAATATTTGTTAACAATTAATAAAAATTTTTGTTTTTTAAGAATATGTTAATAATATTACAAATTTAAATGAGATTATTTTAAATATTTCTTACATAAAAACGAGAGCTCCTACGACCATATTCGCTGGTTCTGAGAGTCTAGAAGTTCGATGCCGTTGTCCGGGAGGAAAGTTCATATGCGTTGAACTCTTCACCAATTGTTGATTGTCCGATTGCGGATAAACCGTTCAAACGGAAAGTTACTCGATAATAACTTTCGACAATGTCCAGTCCGTCTGCGCCAGTTAAATAATTTCTTTGGTCGAATGTGTTTTTAAAAAACTTTTATTCAAAGAAATTACAAATAAGTACTGATAAACATTCAGAACTTTATGAATCTAAATCAAATCGAGTCGATATGCTTTCGGGAAATCTGGCTTAAGACTAACTTGTTTGTTAAATAAATCCTTATAAAATTTCTAGAGTGGGAGAGAGTGCTGATGACAATTCTAGGAGCAACACCTGCATCCTAGCATTGTTATCACATTATTTATTTAACACAATGTTTATACTCGTATATAACTTATATATATGTGTACGAGTATATGTATATGTACATAAATCAGTAATCAGTCATCTCTATTGTCATCATCCGAAAACCTTTATGAACTTACGCCATTGAAGTTCGGGGTCCAACTTAACCTGCCGACTTCAAACGAATCTACGCCTTCCACTCGCCTGTATATGATATATTGCTAAGCCGCCATTTTATGCTTCTGTTTTCATTCTACAACAATTTAAACACCTCTTCTATTATAACGTTGAGAGATTTAGTTATAAAAAAACACAGCAAAATCTCCAATCACATTTCAATCTGCACATGTTGCCATTTTCTTCCCGGCCATTTCCTAACATTTTTAGACGTTTTAAAAGGCGATGGCTCTTCGACTAGCTCTCAGGGAGGAAATACAAACTTTTATTGTTAAAACGAGCATTATCACTAGATAGCTACTTAAATAGTGTTACGAATGTGTTTTTTTTACCATTAATGTTAGCCATTACGCTAAGCGTAGATCGTGGCAAAATAAATCTGTTTAAAGAACTTTAATTTCACATAAATGTTTGTTTTTGGTGTACGCGGCATAAAGTAACATTTGATTTCTGATGACTTTTCTAAATTTTTTTTCATACCTTAACAAATCGGATGAAACTTGGCAGAGTTATTGAACAGTTGAGCCTTGATTTATTGTCTGAATTTCGTTGAAATCGGCTATGAAGGATTTGTCCCATGGGATGCGAGAGGCCCGCCAAACTCTTAACAACTTGCTGACCCAACTTGATTTTGATAGTATGTAACAGAATCATTGTGCTTTTGCGAATTTTTCTCGAACTAGTAGCCGTTCAATATGATATTTTATTCAATATTCTGTGACAATTTGCAGAATTGAGTTACTGTGCTTCACCAGAATAAAGTTAATATGAAATATAAGCCAATACGATTTCGTCGCAATCGTGAAATAAGTAAAAAACAAAACGTAAAGTGCATATATATATCTGGTCACATTCATTCCCAATAGAATAATCTATGTTCCTCTGAGCGAGGTTAAACCCATTTCACTTTCGCTAATAACTTACTTTTACCCTTCACACTCACCAAAGAAATACATACAAAAACATGTTTCTTTAAAAAAATCAGAAATTTTTTTAAATTCTTTCCTAATATTATAATTTAGGAATCTGATAATATCTTAATAGTCTTATAAAATATAATGTTTTTGTGACCTTATCGTAGATATTCGGCACAAGGATTTATCACATACTAAGCATCATATACTAGGTAGAGGGCGAAGTAGATATTCATGTAAATAAGTGTCAGGTTTTTATAAATTAAATACTGTATAGATAAATAATGTAATTTGGGAAATATAAATAAATAAATGAATAAATAGATAAATCAATAAATGAATATAATTAAATACATTATGTAAATGTAACAGACAACAAAGATATCCGAGCATCTCCAGCTTTTGCACCACTTTATACATCCAGATGGCATTTTCTAAAGAATTCGTAAATGTAGGCATATAAATCTCTATTACTTTCGAGCAGTAGCGAGCTTAAAGTAAATGACCTCTTTATGTTTTTTGGTTTATAATTTTCAAAACTGCCGTCTTTGGTCGCCATACACAACACATTCGAGCAATCAGTGCTCGAGACTCTCCTCGACATCACACGATGCGCAGTTTGGAGACGATTTGGACTTGATTTTGTATAGATATGCTTCGTACATACCATGGCCAGTCCTTAACACACTTACCCGATGCAACGCTATGCGACCTTACCCGATGTTACCCGACGCAAATCCAAAGTCCAATCCTTTTTAAAAAGATAGTTCCTACTCACAGTAAGTTGTTTTGCAACGACGGGATTTCGAGCCTTTTAGCTCATCATCAGGTTAAAAGACTTCTACAACCACATCTCTCGACATGAATTGCCAACGTGAACCCGCTGATACCCCC